AGCTAATTAAATATTTTGTTGCGCTATAACTTTTGTATATTTATTGGCAAATAATTTGATATCTCAATCTTTTGGAGATTTTACTGTTCAAATGTCACGTTTTAATGTCGGAAGAAAGTTAAAGGTTAAACTTTTATCATTTGGGACTTATATACTTCACCATTCATATCGTCATTTACACTAAAAGATTTCATTGCTATTGCCACAAAGATAAGACTATAAGCTCAACTTCCTACTGAGAACTGCCAAATACTAGAGCCTTCGGATGAAAACTTCAGTGTAGTAGAATTACCCACTTAATACATTCGCAAAACTGTTGCAAAGAATTGAGGACAAAAATGCAAAATACTCGGGCCAAAATAGACACGAACCAAACCAACTTTAGCAATCTTCCTAAATGGTGCAAAAATTTAATCATTTGAATAGATGTTAGGCACAACACGACTAACGTAATTGCCTAAATTAATTTCAATTTCGCAATACGCAAAAATGTGACAGAGATTATGTTCACACCTCATTTGTATAGTTCAAGGAACGACGTGACAACAAGAATGCATGATGATTACCTAAATATACATGTATAAACATCACTTAGAATATTTGATGAATATCAAATTACACGCATAATGGATCTTAGGCTATTTCGAATAAGGTCATAAGTTAGTTAATACTGGCTGTTTGGTCTAAAGCCTGTAGAGGCCGATTGTGTAAGAGAAAAGTTTTAAATGCTTTATACTTATGCTTGGTTAAACACAGAACATAGAACAATATTCTGTACCTAGTTCATTGTGAGTTCATTTATTTTTAAATATTTGACTTACAAGTTGGTAATAGGTGATCGTATAGTGCGTAATATAATCATATCAAACCCTTTATGCTATGAGAACAAAGTACAATGACGTATTGTTACGTAGGTACTTTTCTTATTAAGGAAAAATATCGTCATAGACGTTATAAACTTAAAGATACTTTTATTTTCTTTGCAACGACTTTACGGAATGCGGAACGATTCGAATACTAGGTCTAGTTGATAACCGCTTAAGGGCAATAATACCTTATAAATTATCATTGGTATAATGAACTATGTTGAGTAAATATTTACTTTCAATTACGCATGCGTTCTGATTAAATTATGCCTGATATTTATATAGGTGTGGAATAGTTGATCATTATAATAGTAGTCTAATTTTCTACCTATACTTAAAATACGACTTTAAATAAAAATAAACTAGGAATAACTTTATAATTGCCGGTAATTAAGACACAAAAGAAACAACACTGTGTCTCGCGAAGGTTTGGGTTCCGGCTCCGGCACATCAGAAGTCATAATAAAACATTCTGAAAACTGATAACAGATTTTTTTTTATTTTTTTTTTTAAGGGGGGAAAATCATCGAATGACTGCTCCCGCCTGTGTGAGGCGGGAGGGAGTGTCAGACTCTTACTGACTAAAAACCACCCCGTTCCTTCTCCTGCACGTCGAGCCGAAGCCCCGGTTACCCGTTAGGTTCTCCGCGACACCGATAACAGATAGGGTAATTCGCTTGTTCGCGTCCACCCTACTAAAGTCCGCCTGTTCGCATCCACCCACCACTTTTTCACACAGTATTACCTACTCAAAAAAATTTACCATCATGACACCATCAAAGACAACAATTTCTAAATAGCTTTCAGAGATAAAACGTTTTATTAAATAAAATACCACATAGCGCAACGCTAGTAGATGCTTAGGCTCATTTTCCGATTTAACCCTTCGGCAGCGATCGCAGATCGGTAAGCGGCGATGCGATGGTGCGATAGCCTATCGAACAAGCCCACAGGATCGAGGCCGGCAATTTGCGTGGCACCGCGCCGCCAGTAAATCAAATTAAACGCCACCTACCACTCGATACGATACTTGTTATCCGATATAAGCAGCTTTAGGGTTGACTAACATTACGGTGGTATAAAAAATTGTCATGAGGAAATACAGTGAAAATTGTTCTATATTTCAACGTAACCAAATAACCTATTTCAAAGTAACTTATTATTGTAGTTTCGAATATTGATTGACGAAAAATATTAGGTTAGATTGGCTTTGTGAAATTCTGGTATGTTTCAGATAAAATTAAGATGGAGTAGGTAGGCACGAAGTACCAAATTAAGAATATCAATTTGAAAATGTCAATAGCAAAATTCTGTATATAATTATATTATTACGAGGACCAGCTAATCTTGTAGCATCCGTAGTAGGTACGATCATAATCAACTTTAGCCTTTCGAACAGCTGGCTCAAGGATGTAGCCAATTTAAACTTAGCCAGATTCACAATTCTAGACTTCAAAAGATCGTGTCCGAAGATAAAATTAACATTTCTATTAGTTTGGCCAGAATACCAACATTATGACATCATGATTAATGTCATAAAGTATTATTAGATTAATATTTAAATGTTGCCGTAACATTTGCTACAATTTTTTAATGTATAAAGGTAATCTGATTAGCGCTGAGCTGAATGAAAGGATGACCTTTCAGTAACATTGATAATAAAATTAGAATTAATAAAAACCAACAAAACAGAAGAACGAAATAGGTGAATGGCGATGACATGACAGAAAACCACAATAACCAAGTTTTTATTAACTCAAATTTTCTAAAACTTAAGCCAGAACAGTCAAAATAAGGATCAAATTTCTATACATAGCTGTCAGCCCTAGTAACACAGATGTATTGTGAAAGTAGTCCGAGGGTGCAGGTGGCTGGAGGCGGGGCCGGGCCTCATCTGTCTAAACAACACCTTCCAATCACTGCCTGTCCATCTCCAACTGATAATGTTAACGTGCCAGCTTAGGATGTAATAGTATTGCATGAGAATATTCGTTTAACTAAAAACGGTGACGAAAACACTAGTAGACATGCATTAGATAGATTCAAGTGATTTCAACGATGTAGTAAAAAGACTCTTATTCGGAAATGAAGATCATGAGCGAACAAATACAATTACATCAGTGATACGTACACATTGTCTCCATAAGTTAGCATCAATGTTTTCATAACTTCTGCTAGCCAATACAACATTGTGAGACCAAAATAGTGCTGATGCCGCCGATACGGAGCCGCAGAGAACTTAACGGGTTACTGGGGCTCCGGCTCAAAGTGCAGGAGTAGGATTGGGGTGGTTTTTAGTCAGTAAGAGTCTGACACTCCCTCCCGCCTCCGCCAGGCGGGAGATGATTTCCCCCCTTCAAAAAAACCAAACAGACCTAGCTATAAATGAAATTCATTGAACGATAAAAACGTAGTTCAAGTTCAAAGAAAAATATTACGACGGCTCTTCCATTCACGAATTTAGAGATAAAGTTAAATCCAATAATGTATTACTAGAACAAGATAGAAGATAACAAACTAGAGTTTAAGACTAGAATGAAGATACAGGATGCCAAACCAAAGACAACAATTAACACCAAATTAATCTTCTATAACACGATCAGATCATCATACATAACAACGTCAACAACTTATATAATGTAAGTGCATACAATGAAGAAATTAAACTTTAAAATGATGGGAACATGGAACATAATCAAGATTTATTATGAAAACTCCATGCAATGTTATGGAGTTCGTTTTGATGTTATTAAAATTCCTCTCGACAATTTTAAAAGAAATACTTTTGCGTCATTGTCAGTTTTGAATACAATACAGAGAAAATGTATACGGAAGCTGGTTTGGACAGTTGATTATTTTCGTGTTTTAATGTAAATGTTTGCAACTGTGTATTAAAATACGGTAGCTTTATCTCACAATGTATCTTTGCTTAAGTTTTTATTTTATCATGGTGTTGAGTGTGGAATTAAGTAAGATAGTATTAAAATGTATGCCATCTGTTGATTAGATTATTTCTTGAATATTCATAGTTTTAAAAATATCACAAAACTAAATGATGTGTTAATGTGGGTCAAATAAATAATTATCTAATTTATTAATAAAATTAATATAATGCAGCTCGGCTGCGGCGTTCGTGCTAAACGAAATTATAGACTTAAGAAACCTTGACGTCATCGGTACTTATTTTCTTAAACAGATTCTTATCAAGTTCAAAGCAATTAATATCACAAGATAAAATTAAACTACATTTTCTCAGTAAAAACCTCCGCGTAGGAAAACTACATAATTATTTACATTGGTCATGGCAGCAGACTTCTAAGAATATTAATAAAAAACCCGACATTGTGTTACATACATGTCAACAAAAGATTCTCAGTAAAATCTAATTTAAAACGTCCCGAGATAACAGAGGTAATGTAACTTTTTTTTAAGGGGGGAAAATCATCGAATTCTTTCTCCAGCCTGAGTGAAGCGGGAGGGAGTGTCAGACTCTTAGTGACTAAAACCACCCTGTTCCTACTTCTGCACTTCGAGTCGGATCCCCGGCAACCCGTTAGGTTCTCCGCGGCATAGGTAATGTAACTTGGAAGTATTATCGCTTAAATCAACAGCTAGGTTTCCAAAATACTCTTCTTACTAAAATAACTTCGAGGAATGATATCATCACTATGATTATAGTGTATACTAAATTAGCAACTTAAAAAGCAATAAACATTAATGGACCAAATTATGCTAAGCTGAAGAAAGTGAATCTTAATGATTCTGAACTTCACGATCAATGGTCATACAGCGATGTTGTATGTCTGTGTAATTTTAGTGATTATTCGGTTGGAGGTAATTCTATTAATAGGTTCATTAAAACCAAAGGGTATGTTGAAATAAATAATTAAGCTTCTTTCGAATGATAGCCCTATAATGCAACTAAAACATGAAATGACTACCTAATGATATTAAGGCAAGAAGAATAAAAGGTAAAAATATAGAACATAAGGAATCGAAACAGGATTACTGTCTAAAAACTTCAGGTTTCAAAGAGCACTGCTACGCGCACTTTACAGTCTTAGATAACCGCTAAAAGAATAAGGACATGTATTCTGCCCTCATTATATCCCACTTAATATAAATAGTACTTACCACGAGTTCCGCAAACTTGGCGTCGAGTTCATCTTCTGGTGGCATTGGATGTGTGGGAGTGACTGCCTGTAGGGCCAACCCGCCTTCGCCCCCAACCACACAGTACGTGATCTCTGGAGGCTCGTCATTCTGAAACAAATTGAAGAAAATGCCATTAATATCATGTTTACAAAAGTGCTGAGAGGTTATAAATACAAAGTAGGAAACAACGGTAAAATGTTTTTAGTTGCACTATGATAGCAATAACAACGTAACTTTAAAAAAGTTCTAATTAGCATGAGACGTTAAAAATCAAGGTATAAGTATTTTCATAGTCTATTAAAAATATCCTAGAAACGATATCGTTAAATTGAAACATTCTCAAATGAGGAAAATTTAATGAAATTAAAAAAGTAGAAAATAAAACAAAACAATAAATGTAGCAAATTGCAATTGCTTTACAATTAGAACGAAAAGAAAACCTTTCAATGATTGTTATTAAATAAAATTGAAAAAATGTCTACGACAGATCGCATTACAAGGTTCAATGAACTAAAAACATCATTAGACGCAGTGTAGTCGACGGCTATAATATGATTTCGAAATAAACCAATTAACATTGCAGTGCCAAATAAACCAATTTAGTACATTTAGGACTTAACAAAGTAGATTTAAATGGATGACAAATCTAATAATACACAATGTAACCTTTATTAACTCAAAAACAGGTCCTCTCATAAATGCTAAGTATTCAAAACTGGCCACGAAAATATGAATATTTTGACTATGTAGGCCAAAAGATAGCATCGATCAAAAATTCCGACGTATAAACCTTTTACGAAAATCCTTGGAGCCAAGATTTATTAGCAATCAAAGTGTCTCTTACTTATAATAAATTATAGTTCCAAGAACGTAATAACTGAAGATAAAGGCCTATTAACGTAAACGGTGAACTATGGCTAGCACAATTTGAAAGGAACGGCTAGAACCACTTCAAAGCAATAGATACTATGGAAGAGAAAGGACATACATCCATGTTTAGTTGACTTCAAACAAATTCAATACATCAACGACAACAAATATAAAACAAGACGTGAATACGACACCAAATTAAAACAACACAACTTATCAATCATCGGCCGACAACCGAGGATAAAAACATAAGAACGCGACACTCAATCCAAAACACATTTCGGGCACGTGTCCACAAAAAAACAAAACATGAAAATGAACTTTCTACATACAATAACTCATTTCCATTTCAACATCTCCCCAATTTAAAGAAGCCATAAATAAAATTACTGCAATCAATACCTAATTATCCGAAAAATATTCTGCTTGCAATAAGAAAATTTTCCCAGTAACACATAAATCAACGTGAGGACATAATCTGCTTGCGAATACTTCTTGAGAAACGAGAAAAAACTCAATTTAAATCGTCGAGGTTAAAAATAAAATGAGGAAGACATTGGTTCCTTCCTTTAAAGGGAGAGTCGACAAATGTGGCGAATGAGGAAGTGCGCACGAATGGACAAGAAAAACTTCGCTTACCGCAGTATAATCGCCTGAACGCGAAGCTATTACAATAATAGGAATGTAATTACTACTAAACACATGATTCGACGATTTGTGCCATTTAGGAGCGTCTTTTTCTTTCTTTATCGCTTGAACCGGTTATTACTGTAATTATTTAAACTTCTTTCTAATAATACCATCTGATAGTTGATGCATAAACTCCTAAATTGAAATCGCACTGAGATTTCTAACTATATTACATATATCATCACCGTCATACCAAGTATTTCAAGTTTCTGATTCTCATCAAAATGTATTGTTTATTTTTTTCGCATTGTTATTTTAATTGCAATGTGTCTCTGTTTCTAGAATTTTGACTCAGCTAATTCTATGATTTCTAAAAGTTCTATTCTTCTATCGGTTACATTCAATTAGACGACATGTTTGTGATCGATTAGCAAATCAAGCACCTGCTTTACTCAAATCGTTTGGGCGTCTCATCTATAGTGGCTAATTAATGTAAATAAAGCTTTCAATTTGCTCACGTATACGTGACAACATACAACCAGATAACACCATGTACACACGTCCACACACGAGCGTGCTAAAAGCGCTTCTGACTCAGAGTGACCTTTTGCCGGCGCTTGCACATTTCTACGAAGTGTCGCCCGATGTCTCGCGAATCCATTGACATAATGAATAGGGCTGTACGGAGAAAGTATTATAAATTAACTGTTAATTTCTGAAAATTATTTATAATGTTTCTTGTAGTCATTAATTATTACAGTTTAAAATGAAACATCTGCAGGGTTTGTTTCGAAAACAGCGTTAGGTCATTACGAAGACTATAATATATGTTTCATTTGCTCATTGAAATAGAGGTAGAATGGGGATGATGACAGGGTATGAAAATTAAAAATATAATTAGTGCGTAAGTTAGGTAATTAAAAAATATTAGACACATATTTTTTTATTTTGTCGTATAATAAAACAATACTTAGATAAAACGTATCAAAGCTTAGGAGTGGGGGCTAAAACGTCATTTCTTAGTATAAAATGTACTGAGAAGTGACGTCACGCGACATTTCAAATCAATATATTTTCGAAACTATTTGTCTCCGTAAGAAAATAAAAAATACGTGTGTAATGTTTTTAAATAATCTACCAGACGGACATTAAAATAAAAATTAGTCGTCTACCCAATTATATTAAGGAATAATTTATAGAAAATTACCTACTCAAAAGATAGATCCAATTTAAGTCACAAATGGGCCCAAAAGCAGAATCATCCGACTACATGTTTACAGCAACAACACAATAAAAGAAACAGATTTATTATCCCTAAAATCATAAAACTAACAAAATCATGCAACATCACTCCCTTAAGAAAATATTAATAAAAAATAAGTAACTGCTTAAATAAGATAAATCCTTGCCGTATTTTCTAGTTAAAGTAGCCCACAATTTGCTAAGCTTAACGAAGGGGAACGAATTGCGGTGATGTCAGAGTTTGCACCCTCTCCCTGTTTATACAGTCTTTTACTAGACATCGTCGTCACCGTCGCCATCTTTAAACTGTTATTCGGAACGTGACTCCGGGCTACACGAGCCGTGTCAGACGAATTTACGACACTATCTAAACGTTTTATGGTAAAATGTGATGAAACAGGTGTTGAACCTAAATTTTCTGCATGCTTGGAGTGACTCTTAAGTCAGCATTGTATTTTGATAGAACTCTGTGGTTGGTTAAAACATAACATAACATCACGACTTTTATCCCCGAAGGGGTAGGCAGAGGTGCACATTATGCCACTGTACAATGTAATACCGATTTTCACTATTTGTGTTATGAGTCCCATGTAATAGGGGGTGAGCCTATTGCCATATACCGGGCACAATTGCAGACTCCGTGCTACTACTGAGATTTTTTGTAAAACCCTATAATACTTTGACGACACGGGAATCATACCCGAGACCCCTTGCCCGGCAGTCGCACTTGCGACCACACGGCCAACGAGGCAGTGGTTAGTTAAAATGTATCCTATAATCTAAATTGATTTCAGTGGCATTTGAATATAGACAATAAAGGATACATATGGATACGGCTTATCAAGTATATGAAGGTCTGCACACAAATTGCAAAGGTAAGATAAAAACACAATATTTCTTAAACAGAAAATATGCTTTGCTTTGAAGGTTTTACTATCCTGTTCGACAAACATAAAAAAACAACTAGAAAAAAGGTCACAACAAACCTAGATATGTATCAAGATCATTAGGAACACTAATTAAAAAGTTTCAATGCAAATTCGGTTCTAATTCAGTACACAGAAAGTACACTACTGCAAACTACAATTAATTATGTATTCCCTAAGTACTATTTGCTTAATTAACATTAATAGTAGAAAGTACTGACTGTATATAAAACTATCCTACCAGATTAAGTTGACCTCCCATTGCCAACAAAATGTACTTAAGACAAGGTCAACTTTATAGTGGAGGTATAGTTTATCGTGCCGACAAACAGATGAAAAGGTAAATAACATTTAGATATCATTCAATGAGGTCACGACCATTGTAGCAAAATATTTGTTTAACGTAGAACAATGGAAAAGAACCATTAAGAGCTAATTATTTAATATTTAATTAGGAATTATGAGCCTTATTGCGCATCCTGTTATGACTTTGTTGTTTTCTAAGACAGAATAAAATATTATTAATGAAATGCATATTCAGTTTGATTTATATCTAATGAATGAATAATTAAAACTGCATTACCTTGTTAACATTAAAAAAAATGATAATTTGCATTTTATAAAGTGTTAATTGAGTGTAGGATTAACGTTATTATGTGCTCTTTCCGTGTAATAAACAAGACGGTAGCATCTAATTCCTAATATCTATAAATTTTATATTTAATGAGAACGCGTGCAAGTTTGTTAGTTTCATCTCAAAAACAGCTGAACAGATTTCGATGACTTGGATTAACATAAATTGACTGAAGTTAATATCGATATTTTTTAGCATTATGTGGGTCATGGAACGGAAAAGGATGCACAGCTTCAACTATACTGTTATTGCTATACAAATACTAGTCTTACTCTCCACTCATTTAAAAAGTAATTATTACTATCTTATCTGAACTTTCTAACTAATTTCCGTATGTAATAATCTCCTTAAAAAGCGTTTCTCTTCAATTTTATTAAATATCTACACAACCCATAACATTATCATGGCGTACAATTATTTCCTACGTTGTAAAGAAACTTTATATCAAAAGGATCTCGTATTCCCATAAACATACTGAGAGAAGTACTTGAAACAAATGACGTCATCCAACCAAATAGTGACTCATGCAAAACTCACAGCATAGCGGCCATTTTTCTTTTTAACACACGCCATCTTAAAAAGGAGGCGCGATAACCCTACAACCCTTTACAATGAACAAGAAGTTCCTATTTCTGTCGATGATTTCATCCACTCAACTGCAAAGTTATTTGCAGGGCCAACATTAACTTTGCAAGAGTTAAGATGTTTACAATGAAGACCTTTTTGTTTTTGAAAAGAGAGCAAGTGACTACTTCACGTGATACGTAACTAATTAAATAATGTAATATGGCGCAAACTAGTTGGATGGAGCTGGATGGTTGTATGGACCAAACGGTTTACAAAAGATGGAACGAAAAGTTCCAACACCTCCAGAAAACCGAAGAACACTGAGACAGTTAGATTTAGCAATGGCATCATAATAATGATTATAAGGGCCCTCGCACACGACGACTTTTTAACTGATAGCGCGACAGGATCGCACACATAGTAGGTACACATATGCACTTCACGACTATATCGATGCAGACACGCAACAACATAGCTACTGCATTACTACAAAAAGTCGCCATGGTTGAGGGCTTTGATGAAAGAGACCCATGAGGATTCCAAAACAATATTGACATCGAGCCTAAAAGTAGGTATTTAAATAGATAAATAACTAGCTACTTCCGCGCGGTTTCACACGCTCTGCTCAGCTCCTATTGGTCGTAGCGTGATGTTTTAGCCTATAGCCATCCTCGATAAATGCGCTATCCAACACAAAAATAATTATTCAAATCAGACTAGTAGTTCCGGAGATTCCGCTTTATATAATAGTATAAGATATAAGATTTTACACCTGCCCTATTTTCAGAATTCCCATAATCTTTCCAAGGACTTAGGGAATAATATTATTAAAGAAAGACAACACTAGTCGATATGCAAGATTCTTACCACTAATGACAGAAAAACGTAAACGCAGTAACAAAGTAACTAAGATAACTCTGTAAGGACAACTGGACAATATTATCTCTTTAAGTACGTAAGCACTGAGTATTTTAAATAGCTAAGCGCACAAAGAAGTTGTTATCCTTTAAAAACAAGATATTTCTACAATTATAATAAGGTACGCGCAAACCAAAATTACGCGTCCATTTATATGAAAATTAGGCCCCATTTGAATTGTCCTAAAACCTACAGCAATGAACATGACGAGGCTTAACCCAGCTCAACAGCTAACAAGCTATAATTAGAGAATCAACATCAAGTTCATTAACATAGCCTGGACAAAGGCCGTCCGTCCCAAAAGTTGACAAAACACACTCATTCCTATAAATCGTACCCACATTTGGTGTTCCGAAGAAACGCGTTTGCATAAATAAATATTATGTTAAGAACGAGTATTAACTTCAAAGGGGTGTAAATGTAGACCGGCCAACTTAAAAATCATTCCCAGAAAAATCACGTCTTCAAAAACTGTTTATTTAAAACTAAACTTACTTGTGTATTTGCTACCGACCGTTTTCTTCTCAAACTAAAAAACCTGGTCTTATTCATTTCGGGACACAACTCTGGATCATTATTATAACAACACTAAATGACAGTTTGATTGGATAATTTAATTCGAGTCACTCGACAACGATGTCAGTAAAATACTTTCGCGGTTGCGCAAGAGTCAATCGAAGGACCACAAAACAAACGAGACGGCTCGCTGGCGCCCTGCAATGTGTCTCAATCAAAACTAAGGACCTCCATGTACACCCGTAATTGCTTCCCGTATTTATCGAAGTGCATTGTCTCGCTCTAATTCTATTAACAACTAAATGGACGTTTCATTAGGGGCCATGTTGACGACCGATACAATAAGTATTTATAAATGAAATGTTTGTTTCCAAGTGAGTAAATAGTCTGAACGCAACTAATAAATACCAGAATATTTATCAACGCATTCACTTGTTACAACGGAATTGCATTAGTTGTATTAATTCAAAGCTTTGATAAAGTATTTGGAAACGCATAAATGTAATCTGGAATCTTAGCCTTCGTTTGAGAGACATTAGGCCATTAATATGAAATAGAATAAGTCACGACCTTCTAATTTGAAGCGATCCAATTAAATTTGTTTCAAAAAGCTATAATCCTATCGCCTTCAACCTTTGTTATTGTTTGTAATCAGCTTACAATTGTGAAATATGTTTAGTAATATTTAATCAGCAACGGAGGGTCTGTTAAGTAGCCTTATTGTTATATTTTGACGGAGACGGTTATCGTTTAACACGATTATGTCTGACCTAACGTTCGAACTTGCTATTTCTATGGACGCACGTGGTCACACAATCAATAGAGTGTTTCATTCACATTGCATTGTTGTTTTGCGTTCAATTGTATTCGATTCAAGTGATCCATTATTGGCTTATCTGTCTGTCTGGTTGATTGGATTACCGTTTTGGGAGTACGTTGAAAGGTATCGCTATGTTAAATCGTTAAGTGTAAGTAGTCGAAATGTTTGGATCAAGGACTTTATCCAATTAAAATGTAGCGCTTTTGACCTGGTCACTTTCAATTACTAATAGATTCAAGTTCGTATTTGCAGTGTAATAATATAGCATCAACAAGTTACTAAGCATATTTATGTGGTTATTGCCAAGTTTATAAATTGGATTGTCTACTTTCAAAATTATAAAAACGATGACCAAGCTCAGTAAACGTTTCGATCCACGTGACTAACCACAACTCAATAAATTGCAGAAATAAAATCTTTGAAAAAAGAAAAAGAAAATCAATTCTCCTAAGTAATACCCAGTGTAATCATCAAATCATCACAGATCGCTTCAATCTCCCATTAAAATAATTTTCAATTTCCATCATGTGTTGGTCTCATCTCTGTTCTTGATATAAGTGCGTACGTACTGACCGACATCCCGACTGCTTTCCAATCCAATGTAAACTGGTTTTCTATAGACCTTGTGTTGCCTGGCCCTTGCCTATCAATAGCCCTTTCATTCATGTAAGTAACAATCAGTCTTAGGTGAAAGTTTATAAGGTCTCTATTTTCACATTTGTTCTGTGTAGGTAGTACCTAGTGTAAAGAGCTGCCATGAAGGTAAGGTACTCATCATATGTATTCAGCCAGATTTAGATGTAATATTACTAAAAAAAATTCCCGAAAGAACAGATATGTATGTGTAAAGAAAAGGATGTACTCAAACCAATTAAGTAATATCTAGACACAACCATTTTTGCCTATATGGGTTCCATATACCTAATAATTACAAAGAGCGCTTCATATCTACCAATCAACGAACACAAATCCAGACTTTTGAACGAACTTGGGTATGTTTTGAAACCGCTTAGTAAATGCCGACAAGTCTTAAACACATCACCATAACTCGAGTTTCGAACTGACCAAATTCACTGCTCATCTTATTGCCATTGGTCATATTAGACGAGTACCTAATTTGATTGATCGACCGAGTAAGTATATAAGAACAAAGATAATTTTAGCATCGCTAATGAAGCGTGTCTGGCCTTCATGCGTTAGTTTGCTAATTCATTTTTATCATTCACAAAGCTAGGCTACGGTCAACGATCTGTACTTATGTACCTACCTACAATTTTATTTTTCCATGAATGAATGTTAACTATAAAATTCTCAGGAATGAAATCATTGATTAATCTGGAAGACTTGAATTTAATCGTCAATTGATAAAAGTGGCTTATTAATTTAATAGCACAGGGTTGATTTATTACAGTTAAGACAGAACTCAACATCAGATAGCATATGAAGATTCAATTTTATGTGATAATTTTATTTAATTGGAAGAATGGTTGTGTACCTAAATATTAACATGAGACACAATTTTGTAAACTTAGCCCATATTTATTGTAATTTGCTTACATTATTTCAATAGATACCAAATATTATCTCCAGGAACTATACTTTTAAGAAGAATGCTAAAAATGTATGACAAATAATACGTCATATAATTTACCATACGTCTAAGTTAATGCCAAGGTCAGCACAAAAGTCGTGACTGCGTCTACAAATGGTCGACCAGACCCTTAATGGCTGCTACGAGGTACATATTACTTACATATTGCGAAAAATAACAATCAAATATTAAAATCGAGAACTATTATAATACAAAACTAGTGCTTTCAATATGTCAATAGCTTTGTCCCTGAAAACTGTAATTTTCGTTAGCGTTTTGGGACCCAATATCTTTTCTATAGACTTTTACAAAATATTCTTAACTAGCTACTTCCGCGCGGTTTCACACGCTCTGCTCAGGTTCTATTGGTCGTAGCGTGATGTTTTATAGCCTATATCTTTGATAAATTCGCTATCCAACACAAAAATAGTTATTCAAATCAGACCTGTATTTACGGAGATTAGCGCGTTCAAACAAACAAACAAACTCTTCCGCTTTATATAATATGTAGTATAAGATTAAAAACACAAAATAGAACTCAGCATATAACTAGTAGTTTCTATCGATGAGACTTTTACTAAATCCATTGATTACAATGCTGACGTAACCTAATGACTACCGGAATTAACATACCACTAGGTTATAAGTCTATAAGCTAAGGATCAGACCATTCAATCAATCAATTTCTTAATACCACAAATAAAAAAAAAACTAAAAACAGAATTCCGCTTCGCTTACAAAAAGAAGAATCACCATAACAAATTGCCAGCTGGAATAAATTACAACAAATAAACACGAAAAACCACAACAAAATATTTCATTTAAACCAACAGACATCGATGTTTGATTAATACGTCTCGGTTTTAAAGGAATGTTAATTTTTTGATTAGAAAATTATGGAGCCGCAGATTTCTCTACAAATTTAACTAGTTAACCTCTGAACTGAGAGAGGACAATAAAATTTGCACAAAATTTCAATACATTAACACTTTTGCAAATCGTATCGATACGGATATCGGATATAATTTCACTTTTGCGAAATTTATACGACAATGAATAGAAAATGTCGTAAATAAGCTTTCTTTGCTTTCAAAAAATGTTGGATCGTCGTAGACGTTGAGTCTCGCTCTTGATTTGAGACAAGAGGATCATTGAAACTTGTTTAACTTTCAAAGCAAACAAAATAACAATGTGGATTATACATACAAAAGAAGAATGCTATGAGCCTGAGACTTGAGCTAGTTTTTGTAACTTCGAAAATCCTACCAGCAATCATACATATATTGTTTTAAATTAGACTACTGGCTTTCCAAAGGCAAGTAGTAATCTTTCAAAATCATCCTTAATTGCATCACTTTCATACAAACCTTAATAAACTGGATACTATAGCTCAGGCAGCACTTAAAAACCCTTTTGGACAGTACAACACAATGTTACTACCAAAAAGTAGGCCAAATAAATTTTACTCTACTTCCCAAATAACCCCGGCATAAAACCAAAAGCAATTTAATTACCAAACTATAAATTCTCAACCCAGTTCTTGCAATTAGCAATTAGTAAGTGTATCAGGTGAATGGCCAGTAACATCTATATTGAAGATATCATCACTCGCGAAACCAGTTTGTATGTTTGTCGACCAGATGTCTGTTCGGTCACACACTACACCGTTACTTCCACACATCTTCGAACAAACTGACACAGTCGTAAACAGGTGAGATTTGAGATATCGAATGAAAAAGATAGCAATGGTAATAGATTTGTGATTGTCTTATGACGTGATACACTAAAAATTACTATGTCTAGAGATACGACAAAATCTTAAATATGTAAACAAATAAATGAACGAACAAAATGCATAATATAAAGAAGAATAAATAAATAATGCATGTTTTTAAACAAAATGAAATGAAAATGCATCTAAATGAAGTAGAAAACCGGCTAGCTAATGTTAATGATACTGATTCACCCATCGAGGCTCAACATTTATTTACTCCTACACAAAACTTAATACTTTCATAGTAACCACGACTAATTTTAGGATTAACACAGTGAAAACCTCAAATATTTATTGATAGGATAGGATCGATTCACTCATCCCATATATCAAACTCGACACATCATGTTCAACAGTTGAAGCTATCATCATCACTCGTCCTACGGGTACGGTGCAGTCAGTCTAACCTCTCATCGCTTTCCATTAACTCATTACTGCATGTGCAATAAATCTTCTATTTTCTATCAACTCTAATCTCAATAGAAGTGGATTTTATATTAATCTAAGGGCATCTTTTACAATAGCTGGATAGCGACTATCCACTACATACCCATTAACATGTCCACGCGCGCGAGTGTCAATCGCATCGCCCGTCCACGATTTTATTTTAACTGACCTATCTCCTATCATAAAGTTTAAGATAACTTGTATGAGTGGTGAATCATGGCCTAAATGTTAATTTGTTAATTGTTAATTCTTTAAAGTCTTCAGTGGAGAGGTATATTTAAGTCTGTTGCAACTTATTTCGCCGATTGGCAAAGAAAGATTCCAGAGAGTGCATTGAATTCAAAGTTCAGGACTTAGATTTCGTTGGTTGGATATATTTCAATGTTATCTATGATCAAATGCTTATTCTTAGTAATTACAGTTAAGTTGGTATAGAGAAATTCAGACTTGGAGTTATTGAAGAGAATTGGGATATCGATAAAACCACGCCCTTCAATATTGTATTTTAATATGAAAAAAGTTTATAGTATCGCGTCAAATAATTTAATATTTGAGTGTAACACAGTCCCTGGACAGGATTGTTAAGTTAACTCGTTTCATAATTTCATTATAGTAGATAGATACTTACAAAATACAACACAAAAAGATGCACCCAATATAGACAAAAAATTGTCCCATAGAACAATGGAATTAGGAAAACAAGGAAGAACGATAAACCAAAAAATACACAAGTACACACCATCCTATACTTACAGAAAACCATTTGAGATTAGAAAATATTCAGTATACTATACTTATACCTAGACTAATAACTTAAGCTGAACTTGAAAACACTAAACCTCATGTATAATTCATAACAAAACAAAACAGCTTAGCACTAATAACATTAAGAGTGAATAACCCCAACAAAAATGAAGTCCTTGACTTCTAACTTTCACTAATGGCTGAATAGCCAACAGGTTGACTGTAACCTTCAACCTTTGGAGACGAGACATCTAGTAAACACGTTCCACATGGAACCAGTCTGATAGCAAGTGCTGTTGAAGCTATAAAAAGTTGAGTGCTTTCGTTTTCTATAGAAACTGTATTAGTAAAATATCCACCATAAACGGAATATTATCAGGTGGGTAATATTGAAACTACTTTACCGATTCTTTGCTAGCTAGACTAATTCGCGGGTGCAAAGGTCGTTGCCCGGGTCGCACTGAGTATTGCTGAGAGTTTTTGTTTGAATAAAAAAACGGTCATAAACACAAAAAGCAGATGACAAAGCCGTTTAGATCAGAAATTAGGATATGGTAGATTTCGTTTACTGCCTCGTTGGTCGTTGGTGCTACTGCTGGGCAAGGGGTCTTAAGTTCGATTCCCGGGTCGGGCAAAGTATTACAGGGTTTAAAAAAATCGTAGTTCTGAGTCTGGAATTGTGCTAGGTATATGGCAATAGGCTCAACCCCTATTAAATGACACTCATAACATAAACAGTGAAAAGTGGGAGTTACATTGTACAGTGGCATTAAGTGCCGTAAATGTGTACCTCTACCTACCCCTTCGGGGATAAAAGGCATCATTTTATGTTATGTAGATTTCGTTAGCTTAAAAAAATGTAAACAAGGGGGAACATTATCGAATGTTCAGGAGAAATGTTCCTCTTGTTTAGGAGAAACAACAACCATGGTAAATGACCGTAGGCAAATAGATTCACTCCATATAACATTTTAGTACAAAGATATGACACAAATTGAAAATCCCTAGACTAGTTAAGGTGAAAGTAAGGCGACACGGACCCTAATCGCAATCTGATATTCTGTAGGTGTCACCTTACTAGATCAACTCAACTGACACGTTCCGGAACAATTAGCTAGTCCACCTACAGTCTATTGCAAATCCTTAATATATTTGTTATATCTAGTACAATCAAGTCTAAGTATAAATTAACTGCGAAATCAAACAAACATGAAATAAATCAAGTAACACATACTTAGGTATGCGAACCTCTGTTGGTTATTAAGAATTCCAAAAAACCTTTGCAAACAAGAGATCTAACTTTTAACTAAAATGCAACCAAAGAAATAAGTGAATAGAAAGAACATGACATAATAAAAACACCCTTAAAAGAACGTCATAAAGTCGAAATTTCAGTATCAACTTAAGTAACCAACAAGCTTGATTAATTAGATAAGCAGCAATAAGGATATTGATCAACACATCGCTTCATTACTTTGTTTCTATTAACATATCCGGTGTTGAAGGGAATATGGAAATTATAATTGATGGCATTGTATTGAAAGAAAAGACGGAAGCTAGCAATAATATTAACAGGGCTTCGACCTTTCATAACTTGCATAGTGGCTCACCTTACTTATGGTGATCGAGTGGCTAGGACATTTAAAGGG